GTGCAAGTTGCGCACGTTAAAGATCCCTTGGTGGTCTAAAATCGATAAGAGTAGGCTTCGGCCGCCACCCGTGCAAAAATTCAAAAAAAAATTCCTACCAACTGAAAATATTAGGAGTGTCCCGCGCGCTCATATGACCTATGCAATTGCGAACGCCGTAACACACTTTACAAAAACAAACAAGCCCTGCAGACGGCGTGCTATACTGTGTAACTGGCGTTACGTAGCATCAAGTCAAATTCTTACGGACATAACTATGATGGCATATATTTATAGAATTTGTACATACAAAATTATTTTAGCGGTTTTCTTATTACTTTAATTAATTTTCTAACTTAAGCGTGAAGAGCGTATAAAATCGTGAGGATCACAGAAACAAGAAATTCTGAATGTCTTTGTGTTTGCATTTCTGCCATCATAGTTATGTCCGAAAGAAATGAAAAACTTTCTATTTTCATATCTTAAATTCTTTTCTGGAAATTTGTGCAAACAACGATTTAGAAGGTTCAGTTTGCCTCACAACGCATGTTAATGATGAAACAATGACACTTTATTCACATTTTACTATGAATCTCTTCAAAATATCTCATATCTTTCGAACATAACCATGATGACACAAAATGAAAAATACCCTGAAAAGTAATATACGGAACATCAAATTACTTTAATAGTTTTCTCATTGCTTTAATGTTCAAACATAAGCATGAAAAGCATATAAAATCACAACAACAAAAAATTCTGAATATCTTTGTGTTCGCATTTGCGTCATCATAGTTATGTCCGAAAGAATTGAAAAGCTTTCCATTTTCATATTTTAATTCATTTTTTGGGAAATTGTGGCAAATAAAGATTCAGGAGATTCCGTTTGACTCATAATGCATGCTAATGGTGAACAGAATGCCACTTAGTTCACATTATTCGATGACTCTATGCATAACACCAAATATCTTTCGAACACTACCACGTGACACATGTCACATTTAGGGAATAAATGTTAGTCATCATTTTTTAACATAATATCATCAATTTACATCAAATATTCCCCTCTCGTTGACATCGAGCCAAGCACGCGTGGTTGCATGTAGAGCTACCACTACTTGATCATTGGAACGCAGTGCGATACTTTGTGTAAATTGTCAAACATAACACGTTAAGATTTGATGATGACATAAAGAAATCTTAAATGGACTCGTCTCATCCATCGTTATTCTTCTCTCCGTCTTACATCGCACAACAAAACGCTTTGTATGAATCGACAGGAACAATGCACGTTCCTCCACCCATATTATTTCTCGTTTTCTGATTATTTCTTTCGAACATAACAAATGATGACAGAGCATGAGGTGTCGCGGGATTTCCGTTTTCTGCAAAATTACGTACGGTCACAGACTCGGAATCACTCAGGGCAGAGAGTAAACATTGAACGATATTATGCTCGTTCCAGGGCCCCAAAATGGCCGATAGAAACGAAGTCACGATGAATCGAAGTTGCCGTGATAAACGACAACGCGAGTTATGCTCAAAAATGAAAATCTAGAAGGCTCATATATATATAAAAGAAACAAACAATTACCATCGTCCCCATCTTCATCATCATCATCATCCAGTGCTAGATCTGCGACAGACATCGGCAATCATGGTTCTCCATTCATTCCTTTGCTCGGATGCTCTAAAAAAAAGCTACGTTTCCCTGGTCTTTCCCTGTTATATACCCATTTGTTTAGGTTCCCTAAGTATGTTGTTCTGGGCCTACCCCTGCCTCGCTTGCCCTTAATTTTGCCAGTGAGAGCCAGATGTTCAAGACCCTTATGTCTATTCAGGTGTCCCAAAAACTGCATTTGTCGTTTCCACACACACACACACACACACACACA